CTCTCTCTCTCTCTCTCTCTCTCTCTCTCTCTCTCTCTCTCTTTCTTTTCTTTTCTTTTCTTTTCTTTGAAAAAATATTTTCTTTTTCCTGCACGAGGCTCTTTTTTCTCTTTTTATTAAGCCTCTCCTTAGACCAGATCAGTTCTGTGTGAACAAACAACAAACATACAAAAGCACAACATTCTGCAAACGCTGCAAACTTTACCAAACAGGAAGGAACATCTGCAACTAAGCTACAAGAGTAACTTTTGCATATATTGTTCCAACTGACAGAGCTTCTGTAAGATATGGTTCTTCCTTTAAAAATGTATATTCTTTTTTCTCCTTTGTTCAGTTTTTCCTTAGCTGAATGTCCAAATTCCTTAATTGTTTCAGGAAGCCTCGATTAGGGAAGATCCACCGATGCTCTTTTACTGTCTGGATCGCTTTAACCAAAGAGAAATGATGGTGGATCATAAGGTACGCCAGTACCAAAGATGAGGACCTGCTTATCCCAAAGGCACAGTGCACGAAGATTTTGCCTGGAAATGAAAACAACAGATTGGCATTTTGAAAATAATCTTTATATACGGCATTTTAAAAAAGCTCCAAGGAAAGCGAATACTTTCGGCCAAAGGAAACTTGGCAATGTTGAGGACATATTATGGGTGCCATCACAAAACGGCTGCCAGAGAGGACTTGCGAATTCACACAACCACCCATTCATTTGACTGACGCAATTTTTTGCCACCCACCATTCGGGATGATGTCTCCTGGGCCTATCCAAGATGGCTGCAACTTGCCTGGATGGGGAGTTTTGCAGAGGTGGTGGGATTCCCCTCACTGAGGGAAAATCTGGCTGCTTCCCACAGACCCACTACACTCTTGGGGGAGCTGGGTGATGGGGCCATCAGAAAGCCACGAAGCAAGGGAACATGGCAGCTTGGCTTGAAAGTATTATCATGGAGGAAACAGGTTGCAGGGAAGAAACTCAAGAAGGTGAGCTTACTTTCTTAACTTCAGATCTTCAGTTTTTTGTTTTTTTTAAATCTTGGAACAAATTGCCAGGTAAGTGCCCAGTCATAGCTTAATACCACCCACCATGATTTGCATACCTCCTGGCGTAGTCAAAGCCTTGTGTATAAATTCCGCAGAAGAGTAAAAATACGGGCTTATATCAAAACTGGGAAGGTCATGAGCTGGCACACCACGGTATTCGATTGTTGCACCATAAAAGTCATGGGGCTCTTGGCAATATAGGGTGCCATGGGCTGCATTCAAAATGTGGCTAATCCCCATTTTCCATAAGTCAAATCGGTTATGCGCTGTATTACTGAAGAAAAGGCAAAGAGATAGATCCAGTCAGGAAAGAAGTATTTAGGTCTTTTTTCTCCCCTAGAATTTAGATCCATTCACATTTCATGTGGAAAATATCCCACAGGGAATAAAAGCCAATTTCATGCCATATAAGAGCGTCCACAAATTTTGGTCAAAAGATCAAGATGGCAGCCTTGATGGTGCAACTGAGGCTTTGCCTTTTATGAGCGCCATGCTGCACATAAAAAACAGCAGAGTTGTTTGACTGCACAGTTGTGCCACCATCTTGACTTTTTTGACCATATCCTGAGGACTCCCCTGATACCATAAATTAATATACAGTGAAGCTAATTAAGTACCACATTCCATTTAGTAATTGAAAAGTTGAGAAAATTTGAGAAAAAAGTTGATGCAAATGGATAGCATTTTACAGTACTCTAGATCCTAAATTATCAGGTTGTGGGGGTCAGAACTCTGCAGGACCCAAGAGATGTGTGCAGAAAAGCAGATGATGAGCCATGGATGGTTAGGGACCAACTGACCACACCTACTAGGTGCCCAAGCCCATTGGCCAAGAATTTAAAAGACCCCAGGATTGGCCTGAAGGCATTTGCTCACATGGATGAGCAACTGGTTTAGCCTGCAATGGAAGTTCATGTGTCTGAATGCTTTAGGTATCAGAAAGGAAGTTAGGTTGGAATCCAAATATCACCCTCCACCATCATTTCTTCAAGGACTGAATCTTCTATAAGGTCATTCATTCAAATCCCTACTGATAAATTTAAATGTTTACAATGTTTGCATTGTTTTATTGTGGGCAGCTCTGATCTTCTGCGATCCCACCTGTTGGCTGTATTTCAAAGATGAATTTATTTGTTTCTAGGTCAGCTGTGAAGTATTTGAAACCACAGCAATGCTAATTTTTTTCTTTTAATGCTGAGGCTACATGGAGCACGTGTGGTCCAGTTTTATGTGCAGGAACTCTTGCTAACCCTGCATCCTGGACTTTGGGTCCTTTCAAGAGAAAGATGGCTTTTCGGTTCCTCTCATAACAGCTGCTGGGGTTTCTTTATTTTGTTCAGCAAATGAACAAAACATGAAGTACTAACATGCTGGTGGTGGCTTCCAGCAATTTATGCTATTTCCTATCTTCATGTAACAGGGGTGGGGAGACTTTAGTTACTCCAGGACATGCAGCAGCTTGAGTCTGGCCAGCAATTTTTGCTCTGTATTCTCAATATTTCAAAGCCTGTAGAAGACAGTTGTTGATCACCTTCAAACTCAAGAGACTGGGGAAACTTTGTTATAAAACTTTGTTTATAACTCCCTTTGTTATAAAAAGCTAGGATGTCATCATGACACCAGTGCCTCAACAGGGATGAAGATGGAGAGGGGGCCAACAGGTTGTGAGAGCCAATGGTACCAAACATGGAAAGGATCTGAAAAATGAAGAGCATTGGTTTTTCCTCAAATTCAGATCTCTGAGCCAAGGAACAATTCTTAAGCTGCATTCCCGGAAAGAGAGCAAACAGTCTCACTACCTAATGCTTCATTGCTGCCCAGATGTCCATCCGCATGGATGGAGGATAATGCATCCAGTAGGAAATGCCAGAAAGAGGATTGAGGTCTGGAGCCCCTTTAAAGCTGCCCGCTCCACCAGAAAGAATACCCAGGGTCAGGATGTATTAGAGAGAAATAGGAACTTCATGGTACCCACTGTCGTCTTCTTCTGATATCTTCAGAGTCCCGAAAAAACTGACTCTCACAGCTTTTCTTCTCCCTCCCACAGATGTATTTCTATTGCCACCACCCAAAGCAGCTTACTGGATCTATTTACCCCACACATTTTTGTAGGTTGGAGCAAGGGTAAACATTCAAAATTAATAAAGAAGCCTAGATATGAACATACTCCACAGTAATGGCTAGAATAATGAAACTAAAAGGATGTTGATGTCACAAGAAAAGACACATGTCTTTGAAACCACATCTACTAAAAATATTAGGATTTGCAAGCAATGCAGTATGGCCTGTCAGTGTACCTCTCTGCATTTGTAAGGACTAGAATTTGTTTTGCTTTAAAGGCCAGATATTCAAGAATCAAATATTTTGTCTAAGGTTCCATGTTGAATATTGCAGCTGTGGCTGATTTTGAAGGACTAACCAGGTTAAGATCTGGTTATTATTTGGGTGGGAGACCACCAGGATATTCCAGGGCTGTAGGCTAGACAGAGAACTTGGAAAAGGAATCTGAAAAGAAGAAAGTGGCAAAGTGCTTGCATACCGTTGCTGAGAAAACCAGATGGATGTCTCCATGAAGTGACAGGATAGCAAGCCTGACTCAAAGATGACTTTATTGAGCATAATGAAAGAAGACAAATGGCTAGTGTCTTTTGCAATTACTAATCTAATTTACCTGCTCAAAACATGATTCCATAAAACATTAGGCTCCAGGAATGCCCCCGGCCATGGTTCTTCAGATGGGGATATAACTATGCATAGCTATTACTGCAGTTAATCACATCACCACATTAAGTAATCCTTGGACACAATTTATTTGGTTGCAGTAATTATGTGGGGAAGCCCTTAAGGGCTGTTTAGATATGCTGAGGTGCTCTTACAAATATACTTACTGGTCTCCTAAGAAAAGATTAGGCCATACTTCATCAACGTGGTTACAGGAAGGCTTCCCAGTATTCAGGAGCTGCTCTAAATCTTGAACACCGGGGATTTCTTCCGTGGGGGGTCCAAGATCTTTAGGACTGTTGGAGAGTGAAACGCACTCTTTAGCCATGATCGTCTAAAGTAGCAGCTTGCCAATCTGAAACCGGAGAGCGCAGCCCAGGCTCGCTTGTTTACTCTGCTCCAGAGCAGGTCACTTGTTATTTTGACCGTGAACTGATGTCAGGAGCTGGACATCAGCAAAGCGTGTGTCTGCTTGACCTAAAGGTCTGCAGTCGAACAGCACCCTCCCTGAAGAAAAAAACGCTGTTCAGCGATAGCCATGGCTGAAGCGCAAAGTCTAACAGCTGGAAGAATAATTAGAGAGTCACATTCTTTCCGGCAGAAAAAGTGTGTCCATGACTTGCATTTCCTTCCCAAACAGCTATTTCCAACTTGGTGCCCTCCAGAAAAGTTGCAACATTTGCCGTCTTGGAACGTTTGGAGGTTGGAGAAAGCTACTTTATTTGATTAAGACTGCCATGGAGAGGCTGTAATATGGAATCAAAGCATCCTTTTGTGGAAAGGAATCCCCACAGTGAAATAAGTATATTGATATCGTTACAAACAGTAAAATTTTATTCTAGAGCAGCGTTTCTCAATCTCAGCAACTTTAAGATGGGTGGACTTCAACTTCCAGAAATTCTGGGAGTTGAAATCCACCCATCTTAAAGTTGCTGAGATTGAGAAACGCTGCTCTAAGGTATAAATTATCAGTCATTAATGTGGGACATGGGAAACTAAATCTTGATGTGGGACCCAACCATTTCTAATGTTCTGGTCATAGTAGGATTAAACAAGCATAACGTTACTCTCATGTCACTTGCTGTCTTAGCTATTGTGAGCAACCTACATGTTCAGCAGAGCTACAGAGTGGGTTCCACCTTCTTTGCCTGTCCAGATTTTGTGGCTTGTCTATAAATCAAACCAACTGGCAAGGTAAAAACTGGTGCATTGTTTTAGATTTGAGGTTGAAAAAGGAAACCGTATTTCATAAAACACAGAAAACTCAGCAAATTCCAGGGACCTGCTTGTTCTGGAATAAGTTTAAGGTTAAAATAGCATTCCGCATTTGTAGAAATATTTAATTCAGTTCGTTAAAAGGTGGCCAGTCTCAACAGAGCAAGTGTAACAATACAAAACAGCCTGTTTAAATGTGCTTATTTTATTGAGAGGATGTCTTTTTTGTCACCAGCACGTTATTTAAAATACAATATAGCAGAAAACAACTATTACTTAATATTTCATTCCAAATATCACTGGCATAGCAAGACAAGTGCCGACATTTCTGCAATGTAACAGATACATTTTCATTCCCATCATACGGTTATCAATACTTATTTCGGTATGATTATGTGCCATTAAGTTATTTTTGACTCCTAGCAACCACATAGATTGATTTTCTCCATGACGATCTATCCCTAACCTGATCTTTCAGGTCTTCCAGTGGTGCACCTATTTGCCACTATAACTGAGTCCATCCACCTTGCTGCTGTTCGTCCTCTTCTTTTTCCTTCCACCTTTCCCAGCATTATGGGCTTCTCCAGAGAGCTGGGTCTTCGCATAATGCAGTGTTGTCCAAACTTGGCCACTTTAAGATGAGTGGACTTCAACTCCCATAATTCTGGGAGTTGAAGTCC